AGGAGGCTGCAGCGTGAAGAATTACAGAGGAGGCTGCAGCACGATGAACTGCAAAGGAGGCTATAGCAATGAGGCTACAACGATGCATTGCAGAGGAAGTTGCAGCGATAGGCGAGGAAACTGCGGCAATTAGGTGAAAAAAAAAATTTAAGTGATTAGATGGAAAAAATCTGCAGCGATTAGGTGGAAAAATTTGCAGCTGTTACAGCTGCTGAAACTTGCTGTGGCAGTAATGATTACTGTGGTATAGAAATTGCTGCAGTAGAGGGAAGCGGCTATAGATGGAAGCTGTAAAAACTGCAATCATTCCTGCTGTCGTAGGACGGCAGTGATGGCTATGGCGGGAGGTTCTTATGATGGCAAGAGGTGGTCGAGTAGTCTCCAACTCCGAAATAGGAAGCAACGGCGCCGGAGGAGAGGTAAGCAGCAGCACTGCCTTTTCTAACTGAATAGAAAAGAGAAGTAGTAGAAGGCTTCGGTAGAGCTGCCTACATCCGTAAGGATGAAGGCTCTGATATCATGTGAATAATTAAATGAAGAAGATAGACTTGATAGCTATTTATACACATTCAGCAGGGAGGATTTTTCTCTAACTTCTCAGAGATTTCCTCAATTGCTTAGAGATTTCCTCAACTGCCTTGAGAAAATCTTATCTACTTATAAGAAGGTATACATGGATGATGAATTCTTAAGTGGCAGTGTGGATATGTTTGACGTGGTCGCCTTGGAATGCATTGAAGATGAGATTAGGAAAAAGGAGAAGATGCAAGAGATTGATCAAATAAGTCTCTTAAGGACGATATAAGATGATCAACATTAGGTTGATGGAAAAACGATCAATACAAGAGATCATCATGACATCGATAATTTGATAAAGACTTTATATGCAGATTAAAAGCATGATCACCTTTAAAAGAGAAGATTGAAAGTATGGATGAAGATATTTTTAATAATTGTTTTGGCATAGTTGGCAAACGACTCGGTGGTGGCTTGTGAAGTCAGGACATGACGGCTGAGGATTATGAAAGTTATCACCTTGATATATATAAGGGGGGTTTGGTTTGGGCCCCATAGGGCTAGGAGGCAGCTTAGCCAGACCGTTGTTGACGTGCTTATTGTATTGGTTGCTCTTCCGCTTGGATTTTTTATTGACCTGAGCTGTAATAGGTGGTCCGGGCAACCTATCATCACGCTTCAAGTATGTCTCATAGTCGATCAACTTATCATAAAGTTCTTCGAATGATATTGGTGAGTCGTGTGCCCGAAGTGCTGCTGTCAATTTTTTGTACTCGTCTCCTAGGCCATTGAGGGTATGGATTAAGACTTCTTCATCACTGAGAGAATGACCTATAAAAGCCAAATCATCAATGATAACTTTGATATTTTGTAGATAATCAGCAATAGTACTTCCCTCTTGTTTCGATTTTATCATATTGGAGAGAAGTCCGAGCATGCGACTACGCCAGCGATTTGCCAAAGTTGTTTGTAACTTGCACCATGTTTCTGTAGCAGTCGTACATGAGGATATCAATGGGGTAACGGATCCAGCAATGGAAGCTTGAATAGCTTGGAGGATAAGGCGATCTTGACGTAGCCATAGTTTGTGGGTTGGATTTGGCACTAGATTGGTTTCGTCTGGGATGTTGACTAGTTCAGGTGGACATTGGAGAGAGCCATCAACGTAGCCTAGGAGATCATAGCCAAATAGAAGATTAGAAAGTTATGCCCACCAGGATGCGTAGTTGCTCCCTTTTGATAATTAGAAAAGAATGAGTACTGTAGCATTGATGGTGATAAGATTTTGAGAAGTGCTCAGAGTCCCTGTAGAAACAGGGATAGGAATATCGGAAGAGGAAAATGAAGACATCCCAGATATTTTGTGGCGGTTTAAGTAATCTTTACAGAAGATGTAAAGATATAAGAGGGAGGTAGGAGGAGAAAAGCAGATCGATACGCTGTAGAGGAGGCTGCAGTGGTGAACTACAGCGATGAGGCTGCAGCGATGAACTGTAGTGATAAGGCTGCAGCGATAAACTGTAGAGGAGGCTGTAGCGATGAATTGCAGAGGAGGCTATAGCACGATGAACTGCAGAGGAGGCTGCAGCATGATGAACTGCAAAGGAGGCTACAGCAATGAGGCTACAGTGATGCATTGCAGAGGAAGCTGCAGCGATGGGCGAGGAATCTGCGGCAATAAGGTGAAAAAAAAAAATCTACAGTGATTAGATGGAAAAAATCTGCAGCGATTAGGTGGAAAAATCTGCAGCTGTTACAACTGCTGAAGCTTGCTGTGGTAGTAAAGATTACTGCGGTAGAGAAATTGCTGCGGTAGAGGGAAGCGACTATAGATGGAAGCTGTAAAAACTATAATCATTCCTGCTACTGCAGGAAGGCAGTGATGGCTATGGCGGGAGGTTCTTCTGAGGGCAAGAGGTGGTCGAGTAGTCTCCAACTCCGAAATAGGAAACAACGGCGCCGGAGGAGAGGTAAGCAGCAGCACTGCCTTTTCCAACTGAATAGAAAAGAGGAGCAGTAGAA